CCCGGGTCTTCGGCGTGACGAGTTGACACTTTCAGCTGTTAGAAGCTGCATCTGTTCATTCAGCTGTGAGAAGCTGTTATCTATCCTTGCAGCTGTGAGAAGCTGTATCTTTCCTTATAGCTGTGAGAAGCTGTATCAATCCTTGCAGCTGTTAAAAGCTGCATCTTTCCTTATGGCTGTTAAAAGCTGTATCTTTCCTTATAGCTGTGAGTAGCTGTATATATCCTTGCAGCTGTAAGAAGCTGTATCTTTCCTTATTGCTGCGAGAAACTGTATCTATCCATGCAGCTGTTAGAAGCTGTATATTTCCTTATAACTGTGAGAATCTGTATCTATTCAACTGTGAGAATCTGTATCTATTCAGCTGTGAGTGGATGTAAATGCAGTCAGCTGTGTATATCCAGCCAGCAGAGTTCCACCAAGATGTGGTTTGATGTGTCAGTGTTGCCATAGCTCAACAAAAAGGCGTGTCATCTTACCAACTGTAAACACATGCTTCAAAGGAGGAACTATCTTTCTAATTATGAGCAATCCCACATCCCCCATTTCCCACAAATACAATTGTTCATTTTGTTGACACTATTTTTGATTTGCCAATTGCAGAAATTTGATCGTGACGACAGTGTCATTAGCCTGGGCAAAGTAATTACTTAAGCCGTGTGTCCCCGCGTTTCGGGCCTCGCAAACTCCGCTAATCCCTCTCCAACTCCCCACAACAGATAGTAACCAAGATTTCAGATACACACCAACATTCAAATGAATTTTTCGTATTCACACAAGGCGAAAATGATCAATTTTGTGGCTTCCCTAACACCCAGATTGTTGGTAGACATTGATTATATCGACTGCTTCAACCCCAAACAATCGGCACTGGCCAACATATGCATAACGTATTGTGAGGGGAACAGGCCAATAATGCCCACCCAAACTGGGCCGAGATTGGGTTAGGTCCACACACTGTCTGTTCCCACACATCACCAACGTCATTGTTTGACAATTATTTTTTCTTTTCACTCTCACTATCTGTGCAACCACAAGATAATTAAAAACTGCAGATTCATTTCAGGGCTAAAAGTGAGCAATGTTTTTGTCTTGTCACCTCGCCATGTGCTGCTGGGATCGTTATTTTCAATGTCTGTTTGGCAAAAGTATAGCCCCCAGTTGGTCTGTGGTCACAGTATTGTCAGCATAAATGCAGAATTTTGTGAAAAGACTCACTTCAGTTAGGGATTTATGCTATATATCATATGTTTCTAAGCCATGGACGTATATTGCTCTCTTATGCTGACATTTATGACTTAACAAATACTTATATACTCTATTGAAAATATGTTTTGGTTCCAGTTTTCAAGAACCTTTTTACAGAATAATTTGTCAATATGTCAAGATGAATTTTTTTCACTGTGTCGATCCATGAATATATTCCTTAAAATAGTTATTGAAATAGACAAAACATAGGGAAATAGATACAGCTCTATTTTTTTTTCTAAAAATATAATAAAATCAACCAAACTAATAATGAAATTGAAAGATTTATTTAGGTATTCCAAGATTTGAGGATTTTCTAGAAGTGAAATGTTCTTTTTCTGCTTTTGTCTAAAAATATGTGAAATAAGTCTTTCATTTCTTAAGTTGAGCATTATTCGTTACAGTGGGAAACAGTTTTAAATATTATTGCATTCATATTTTGTTCGGTACAGCCAATAGGTTAAGCATTTGTTACCGATTTGACCTTCCCTTTGAGCACACGTGTCCAAATGACATGGTTGAAATGCTGACCTTTCTAATTGGGTTCTTGTACGTGTATGACCAAATAAGTCCCTCGGACTTACATAAGTCCCTTGTTTGCCTGGGGCTGGACTTATAAACAACAATAAAAACACGTGGAGTAAAGGTGTAATCTGCAGTGTGCAGATCGGTGGACGGAGGAACTCCGTGCATAGGGACGTAAGCAGTGAATACTGACGCTTAGGAGAGGATTTGGTAGTTAGCTACCGCCGTCCCTAACAATCCACACTTACACTCACTCCCCTGATCTGTACATGCGTTAAGGAAATTTGACAAAGAAATTATTAATACTCTTAAGAGCTTGTTTATGGTGAATTCATTGAGTAATTTGCTGGAAGGTTTTTGGCGTCAAGGGCTGGGGCATGCAGGACCAAGAGAGCGGCGAGCGCCCCGTTGCCTGCTGGAAGCATTGCTAAATCCCTCACTCCTGGCGCTCCCACTAAGCTCCGATTTTCTCTGATGTATTGCGTTTTGTCTTCGACACATCTGACATGAAACAGTCTTTGAAATTTTCCCAACTCTCATGCCAAGCGGAAAACTGGATCTGGCATAAGAACATAAGCCCTATCAATTTTTTGGCACTTTGTACTGACATGTTCTTACAAATTAATTTTCACTTTGTAAGGCTCAATGCTTTAAGACAAAGACAGCGTACATACGTTTTAGATTATTTCTCTTTCATACTGCAGATTAAATATTACACCTTTTAAACAAACATGATTATTTTGGTCACATGCCAAAAAATGTATAATAATAAAGGTATAATAATAAATTGGATTTATGAAAATAGTATTTCTTTATTACTTCTTGATATGAATTTAGGTGAACATGAAGGTCAGGTTTCAGCAGAATATGAATACTGATATATAAATAAATGCAAATCTGTACAAAGAATGCAACTGAACTAACAGGTGCACATGCACTAATTACTCTGATCTTCTTTGGTTCTGAATATTTTGTGTGTGCTTTTGGTGAATGTTATTGTGTTTAAATTCACTAAAAATATTGATCATAATAAATGTTACAATTTTGGAGTGTTACAATGCTAAATAATATTGAGAGAAAAGTTAGAGTCAATGACAGTTGCAGCTTAAATTTGGCATATAATTTATCAAGACTTTATGTGAAGTTACCAAAATATTTCACTGGGGATTATTGTTGTAGGATATAGATTTACATCCTGTTCAGTGCCAAATGAATGAAATATTATTTTGCTTACTTTCTATCAATACCAAATGTTCTGTCAGGAGTGGCCATGTGGATATCTTATGTCCTGTTTCTGTTCTAATGTTTACTTGACATTGTTGTTGGTGTGAACATCTTAGGATAAAAATATAATTCAGCTGTGATATTTCTGAGAACATAAGAATGATGACAATAATCTATGACTATTTTAGGATTGAATCAGTTTTGTATGTGTTGGACAAGGATGTTATGAACCAAGAAAATAGTCTTAATGCTGTCTTTATTTTGTCACTTTTCAAATGTGTTTCTATAATATCCCATTCCACCTTTATTTTGAGAATTTTGTTACATTACCTGTGCTTGAGTTTGTCCATTTTATTATGGATTCATTGTGAACTATAAAATGCTGTTTGCTGCTTATGCCATCTTAGTTCTTACCCGAGCTTCCATATTGGATAATGAAATTATTGAATAGTATTCACTCACTTACTCACTCACCTTCTGGTCTGTAAATAGGAACAATACCACTATCTGACCTTGTTCATATACATTATTTTCATAAATTGTACATTTCCTGTATATTTCTGAAACATCTGTTAATGTTCCTTCCCCACACAACTCAATTTGGTTAGTGAGAGTATTTTTCTTAAAAAGAATTGTATTATTTGGACATGTATGGTTTTTGTATTTACAAAGAATAAAATTGATTTCTTCAATATTCCATAGGCCATAAGTATCTCTGAGAGTAACTTGAGACAAGTTTAGTGGGAGTATGTTGATTAATGTGGGCATGCTGTGCAAGTCAGTGCCACCATGTCTAGAAAAACATGAAACAAGATGTGAAATAAGCTCAAGGAAAAGCATTTTCAGTTGATTTATTGAGATAAATTTGCTGAGTATGTATCATTTACTTGTTATAATATTTTTTAGAAAATATGCTGAAATGAGTTATATCATTTTTAAAATTGAGGACATAAGGAGCTGGACAGATATTAATTGACTTTTTTTAACACAAACTACATCAAAAGAAACAAACATGTACGTGTTCTTGTGATCTTTCCCTGTTCAAATTTCCAGTGTTTGCTCTTGAACAGATTTTGGAAATTGATAATACAGAAATAGTTTTATTGATATTTTAAAAAATACAGCATATTGATTAAAAAAATTTGTCGCTAAATAATTAAAGTGTGTAATTGAAATAGCATAAATTTTATTAATAGGCCAAAATCAAAAACAAAATGGAATACCATCTCTGTGTCTGAATATGAGAGTCTCCAGTACTATACCTGCAAGTGAAAGCACAAGTGATATACCATCCACACTTTGTATAATCCTGTCCTTGAAGGAAACACACTTTAACATACACAAACACATAAAACTGGCCGCCACACATGTTACGATGTCTCATGTAACACACCAACTCCGTAATCCAAGCACAGAAAACACATTCCCCTTACAAGGAGTACAATATTCCAGCATTTGAAAATGATGCCTCTCACATGCATGTTCTTCGTCGAAACATATTTTTTTTCTGAAATTGCCAAAAGAATGTATTGTTAAGTTAGGGTGACTCCTGTATGTGAGTAGTGACAGAGCTTGAATGCCAGTTTCCACATGAGGACTGTTTTATAGCCTACTGCGGTGTTATCCTCTTTACACGGCTTTGGGGAGTTGGCAATGAAACTGTGGAATGATCTGTGCTCTAGCTTGAGATAAAGACATATTTAGGCATTTTGTTGACTTTTCCAGCAAAGCAAGCATAAGTAGACCATGTCAACCTTACATTGGGCTTTGTAGGCAATGGGCTTTTCTTTTATACTGGATGTGGAGCTCCCCGGCAGTTTTAGAATTAATTCTGCATTAATTTGAAAGTATCTTACTTTGATAGGTGTAAGACCATTATAGTAATGCCATAAAATCAGATTTGTTGAGTTTTAGCCTAGCCTTAGTGCAACTGTGAGGACCAGTCAGGCCGTAGGATTTGTTCCACACTCGATAAAGTGGCTTTTCTTAAATCTTCTTTACAGGGAAAAGGAAGAAGATTTGGAACAACGCTATGAGCTGCTGAATCGAGAGCTTCGGGCAATGATGGTCATTGAAGGTAGGCCAATTCTGCAGCAATTAATATTTAGGCAGAATCAAAACTGTGTTTGCTATTTTATGGGAATGAAAAATGTTCTGCTAAATACTTATGTAAACATTAGTACAAGGAATTACTGGGACTTAGCGCGGCGTTCTTGGGCGAAGGGATTGCAGACTTAATGGAAGACACTGTCCTAATTCTTGAACATTTGATAATAGCTCAGTTGTTTAAATGACAATATAATCATGTCCATGAGGAATAAGATCAGATGCTAATGATGGGGTTTTAATTAAAGCCTGAACATTTTAGAAATTGAAATTGAGCTAGCTGAAAAAGGAAAATAAGGGACGGGCGTAAAATTTCCTTTTTGTTTTATTTTATTTTTTTTATCTTTTGGCTCATATTTACTTTTTGTATACCATTTCGATTTTTAATTTTAAAATCAAGAAGAAAAATGTTTAACACCAGGGATTGGTAAAAATTTGTAGTAAGACTTTGCATATTTCACACCAGCTATAAAAGACCTAACACCCAGTTGAAACTGCTTATGTTTGAGTTCAGCCCCTGTGTGTTCTTTACCCCCAAATTGGTTGTACATTTTAAGCCATTTTAATTTTTTTAAATTAACAAAACATCTTCTTTCTATTCCCCTTTAGTGAATATGTTTTGAATAAAATTGTAATGGATTTCTGTGTGCCATATTAATGTTCTGAAAATGATTTTTTCAAGGGGTAAGACAATTATTACTTCCACTCATGCTGATTGGACCATGGCATTACATGACATCTCAGATTGGGAAATGGAGTCGGCATGCTGGCTCTTTTCGGTCTTTCTCACTGAAAATTTCATTATTGACTCACAACAAATATGTCACATGGATGCTTTTTTCATGCACAGGTATCTACCTCATCAACAGAACCCATTAATAGAACTGTAAACGTGAGGATAAAGAAATAATAGTTGTAATTGTGAAGGAATACAATTAGAGATTGGGTTTTGTGGTGAACAAATTAATATGTTTACATGTGTTTTCTCTCAGTAGAGGCCTTTGATCATATGTGCTTGTTGGATTATCATGTCAATAAAAGATTCAGGTCAGCTGAGAATTAGGATCAATGAGATGAGTGAATTTATCAACAGAGGCACTGCTCTGCACTGCCAGATGCCATCAGTTTGTGCCAAAACATTTCATGACTACAACTGGAGCTTGCCCATTGCCTTCAGTTAGTTCTACAATATTGATTATAGTTAGCTGAGCTTACATGATTGAACTCCTACAAGATTCAGGATTCAAGCTTCTGCCTAAGGTCACATATTATTGTCCTAGTCAAAGCATGCAGCATGGTTTTACTTTGACTTACAACACTGGAGGTCAAGGGAACCCTGTTGGATATTTTGAAGTACTGGTACAGGAGATATAACAGTCCTGTAAAGTAATGAAATGATGAGGTATTGAGTCTTTGCGTTTAGAAGTGATTCACATAAAGGGAAGAATTTATGGATGAAGGAGTAAAAATATACTTGTGTCCATCAAAATATAGAAGTTGGCATCCATAAATTCTTTCCTTTAATGAGGTATATTGTACTCTCCGGTATAGTTTGATGCTTATTTTAGTCTCAGGACCTCTTTATTTCTTGTTAGGGGCGGTGGGGAAGCCTAGTGGTTAAAGGGTTGGCTAGTCACTCCATAGACCCGGGTTCGAATCCCCACATGGGTACAATGTGTGAAGCTCATTTCTGGTGTCCCCGCTGTGATGTTGCTTGAATATTGCTGAAAGCGGCTTAAAACCAAACTCAGTCAGTCAGAGCTTTATTTCTTGTTAAAGATTTGGAACAATGATCACTGTTGTGCGTCCTTTTGGGCACTATTTTTGTTTTGTCTGCATCCCATTTATGCTTTTGTGAGAATGTTACACACATTCCTGCACCATGTAAACCCCCTGATGCAGTATTTTATTTATTATTAGATATAATGGAGTACCTTTGCCTCACTGGGCATGTGTGCCAGTCAGTGTATATTGTGAAACAGAAGGGTTACAGATAGCCAGGTAGGCTGTAGGTTGAGGTGACCACTACTGACAGGAGGAATGTCTGCGAGTGAGGAGCCAAGTATGCTGGCAACATTTAATGAAGTCCCTCACAATTAATGTAACTCGCTAGACTGTTTACACATGCCATACTGCGTGACATTTGTTTGCTTTGATATGAAAATACTGCTTGGTTCATTCCAGTCTGATGATCTGCCCTGGGGGGATTGGGAGCTGTCCCCCACCCCTTGACGACTGTTTACTCCCAACCCCCTGGGAGACTCGGAGCTATTTGTGTGAGGAAGCGCTGACCGAGGACCCACACAATGCTGTGGTTTTAATCCTTCTATTGATAACTAATTGTTCACCTTTCTCCACGCCTTTCTTCCGGCCTGTGTTTTCCGTGTTTCCCTACAGAAACAACAACATGTGGAGTGCTTGTGTTGGCTACAGGCCGTGGAAGACATGGTCAGATCACTAGAGTGGGCAGTCAGTGTCTTGGGCAACTTCTTCCATTGGACACTTAGGCTAATCTCATCAGATGGCCACTTTTCATATCAATGTTTCTTGATAAGACAAACCTTCCCTGAGGTTTGTTGTCTTTCTGAGGCCAATTACTTGGCTGGATTAAAGATGTTTCAAAAAATGTTATTGTAAACATAATTTTAAGATAGTTTGTCCTTTTCCTGTATTTAGATGGGCCGTGATGATGGGAAACGTCTGTCAGTCTGCCTAAAAGTGTCACTTTACTATGGTCAGAGTTCAGTTCACAGTCTTTACAGCATGACTACATATAGCTAGGGGCTGCAATGTTTGGAGTGAGTGTCAGATTATATATATCTAGTTTTATCATATTGATGCAGACTAAACATATAACCTGGTTTGCTAGTTTACAAAAAGTATGGGGGAAAAAGATGCTGGTTTGTGGAGGATTTTCAGCTATAGAGATGCTGGTTTGTGGAGGGTTTTCAGCTATAGAGATGCTGGTTTGTGGAGGGTTTTCAGCTATAGAGATGGTGGTTTGTGGAGGATTTTCAGCTATAGAGATGCTGGTTTGTGGAGGGTTTTCAGCTATAGAGATGGTTTGTGGAGGATTTTCAGCTATAGAGACTGTGGTTTATGGAGGTTTTTCAAATATAGAGATCTGGTTTATGAAATATCTTCAGCTATAGAGATGCTGGTGTATGAAATATCTTCAGCAAAAGAGATGCCGGTTTATGGAGCGTCTTCAGCTATAGAGGTGCTTGTTCATGAGTAATCTGTCGGTCATGGTGTGAAGAGACGTGGATAGCATGAAACTCAACACAGTTATCATGTTCCCAACTGTTTCATGACTTGCAATAAGATTGCTTGTAACTGATCCTCTGATTCTAATGCATTTGGGAAAATCTGAACTCCCACTGTCTTGACAGTAAAGAGCACTTAGGAATATGTTTACATTACAAAGTTAAAAATTCCAGGCAGGTGTGGTATGTACCACAACGCTTGTTTACTCCTTGTATAGATGCCTTCATCACTGCTCCTTGAGCGTTGTTTGTGTGTTTGTGATGAGACCACACCTCGGTCTGTGTGTAGCAGGTGGCCATCCTGTACAGTATGGGCCTGCATATGCAACACTGACCTATTGACATCCTTACAAGGAACAGACCAGGCGGTTCAGGTTACTGGCATGGCATGGGGATGCTGTAACACCCAACACAAACTTGCCTCATATCGCTGTACAGGTCAATTGACCGTCTCCTCCTGAAGTGGATGACCAACACAGAGCAGGGGATCTTTCACCCATGAACCTGCTCATTAGCGAGGACCAGGTGGCTAACTCTTGCCTTCTGCCTTTATTCAGGGGTCATATTATCTGGACTTTGTTAAGTGGGGGAGTTCTGGGCTGCACCCTCTCCCTACAGGTGCCTCACCAGGATGTGCTATCTTTGTCCCATGTCACAGAGAGGGATGTCCAGTCAAACAGAGCAGTTCCTCCTCGCACGCAGGTGCGTGTAAAATCGGGACCTCCATTGCGATGTTATTGGCTTCATCAACCTCTGCCTGCAATTTTACTTCATGTTGAAGTGTACTCCCATGGCCTTAGGTCTCTGCCTTGGTCGCCAGCTCTTCACTAGCCAACGTAACATATATATGGATATACTCTCTGCACAACTATCTTCTGATTTGTGTATACGCTGCCTTGTCCAGGTGTTTCGAAATACCTCTTTTCTTCCATCTCATGATTCTGTATATAGGCTGTCCCAGCCCGATATACTCACTATCCTTCTGCTCAAGGCTTCTGTATACTGTTATTTGCTGCCTGTCGTTTCCCAGCCAGATATACCCACTCTCCTCCATCTCATGATTTCTGTATATAGGCTGCCTGTCCAGCCCCAGCCTAATGTACCCGCTCTCCTCATGCTCACACTTTCTATACATATGCTGCCGATCTAGCCCAGCCCGATAAACCTACTGGTACTCTCTTCCAGCTCACAGTTTCTGTATATATACTGCCTGTCTAGCCCCAGCCCAGCTCTCTCCTCCATCTCGTGATTTCTGTATAAATTGCCTGTCCAATCCCAGTCCAATGTACCCTCACTCCTTGAGCTCAAGGTTTCTGTATGTAGGTTGCCTGTCCAGACCCGGCCCGATATACCCGCTTTCTTCATGATTTTGGTATATGCTGCCTGTCCAATCCCAGTCAAATACACCCATCTCTCCTCCAGCTCATGATTTCTGTATCTATGCTGCTTGTCCTGCCCCAGCCTGATGTACCCTCTCTCCTCTAACTGATGGTTTATGTATATATGCTGCCTGTCTAATCCCAGTCCAGTATACCCTCTCTCCTCCAGCTCATAGTTTCTATATATGTGCTGCTTGTCCTGCCACCCCTCAGCCTGATGTACCCTCTCTCCTCCAGCTGATGGTTTATGTATATATGCTGCCTGTCCAATTCCAGTCCAGTATACCCTCTCTCCTCCAGCTCACAGTTTCTATATATATGCTGCC